CACACTTGGAATACTGCATTCAGTTTTGGTTTCCACAATGTAAAAAAGATGTTGAGACTCTAGAAAGAGTGCAGAGAAAAGCAACAGATGATTAGGAGGCTGGAAGCTAAAACATATGAAGAACAGTTGCAGGAACTGAGTATGACTAGTTTAATGAAAAGAAGGACTAGGGGAGACATGATAGCAGTCTTCCAATATCTCAGGGGCTGCCACAAAGAAGAGGGAATCAAGCTATTCTCCAAAGCACCTGAGGACAGAATATAAAGCACCAGGTGGAAACTAATCAAGGAGAGAAGCAACCTAGAACTAAGGAGAAATTTCCTGACAGTTAGAACAATTAATCCGTGGAACAACCTGCCTCCAGAAGTTGTGAATGCCCCAATACTGGAAGTCTTTAAGAAGATATTGAATAACTTATTTGTCTGAAGTGATGTAGGGCAGGGATCAACAATCTGTGGCTCTGGAGCCGCATGTGGCTCTTTCATCCCTCTGCTGCGGCTCACTGTCGCTCAAAATATGCGTCACAACCGCCAATGTGTGATACCCACCTGCACATGATTTATTGAGCTTTTCCAACCATGGATAAATCCAAGAAAAGAAAAGTTTCAGAAGAGAACATTTAATTCAACTACATATCTAGTTCTGTGGCCACTCAGGAAATAGTCAGGCACGAGAAGGGTTTTGTGGCTCCTGGTATTTTCTTTTTTATGGGAAATGGGTCCAAATGGCTCTTTGAGTGTTTAAGATTGCTGACCCCTTGGCGTAGGGGTTTCCTGCCTAAGCAGGGGATTGGACTAGAAGACCTCCAACGTCCCTTCCAACTTTGTTATTCTGTTCTGTTCTGTTTTCCTTTTCTTTCTCAGTGCGATGTGTGCATCTTCTAATGATGCTAATTTGGTTGTATATCTTTCCTCTTGCTTTCTCAGGTGAGGTCATTGGACTGGACTTCTGGAGAACCTGTAGAAAATGATGCAAGAACTTTGGAACCAAAGGAGAGATGGAGAATAATCTTTTTTGGATCCATAACATTTTGATCAACTCCTCTTTTAAACAGAAAAAAGTGGATGTCGGATTTGACACTTGTCCCATTCCTAAATAAATACATCTGTTACCTTCCTGGATGAATGATGTGATGAATCGAAGGATTTCTTCTTTCTAAACTTTGTTTTTATTCTGAAGACAATCCTTCTGATTTACCGTAGCTTCAGATGCCACCAGCAAATTAGAGAACTGAGGTCAGCCACAAGCATTCAACAATTCAGAAGCTGCCAAGACATCCTTTGCTCAAAATATTGAAGGAGACAGATGGATTCTGATTGCATTCTGGGATCGGTTCTGAACTGCCTAAAATGTTTGCTCTTCTTGGGCGCAACTTGGAACCCATATCGGTTGTGCTGAAATTGTTTAGCAAGGTTGTGTTCACATTTGTGTTGGAGGGGGAGGAGAATTTTGATGGGTAACCCTTTCAGAGATAGCTCTCATGCCTTGGTATTAATGAGGACTAGCGTGCTGCTGTATTAATTTACAGTACGTTTTTACAGGGAGTTTCCTGCAAACTTTATATCTTTTCCCCCCAGAAGGTGGATTCTGATAGCAGAAGAAAACAAAATACAGTAGTGAATTTCAGAAGAAAGGATTTTTTTTAAAAAAAAATCCCCTGTCCTTCTCACCCTCGCGGGAGGACTGATTTTTACATATGCACTGTTTTGCTTTCTAATAGCCTCTCATCATTTTTTTCATTTCAAGGCAATTAGCAGTCGAATTATTGGATTGGAAGAAGAGGTTTTGCCTTCATGCCAGAGTAGTCCCATCTGTTCTCTCCAGCAGAAACTCCCCAACCTGTTTTCTCCCAAGAAATGTTGTGTGTGTGTGTTTTACTGACAGGCAATTAGGACAGCTGAACTTCCACAGATTGAGTGTCTTCAGCTCCAATCATTTCATCTTGGTTTGAACCAGGGGTGGGCTTCAAAAATTTCTGCTGGTTTGCTGGGTGGGCGTGGCCACCATGGGCATGGCCTCCTGCACTACGGTGGGGGGGGGGGAGCATTTTTGCCTTCCCCAGGCTCCAGAGGCTTTCCTTGAGCCTCTGGGCGGGTGAAAACTGCTTCCCCCGTTTTTCCACCTCCCCGAGCCTCCGCACAGGCCCTGCATTTACCTCGCATCCAAAGCGGGCTGCATAGAGACTCCTGGGAGGGGTGGGGGTGGGGTGGGCGTGGGCGTGGCCAGCCAGGGGTGGGATTTGGAGGTTCTCCGAACCGGCCATAATGTTAGCTAAGGGTTCTCCCAAACCTGGCCGAACCCATAGCAGGCCACCCTTAGTTTGAACTTTTCTTAGCGGTGGATTCCCCCCCCCCTTTTAATTATATCTAAGAAATAAATATAAGGCAAAATATATGGTGTTTTTTCCCTCCTTTCTTTCTCCAGGAGAGTAAAATGCTTCTTCAGCACCGCTGATGAAATGGCCCATTTAACCTTAGAACGTAGAATCATAGGGCTGGAAGAGACCTTTGAGGTCTTCTAGCCCACCCCCCTGCTCAAGGCAGGAGACCTTATACTGTGCTGGTCAAATGGTTGTCCAGTCAATTTTTGAAAACCTCCAGTGATGGAGCATCCACAACTTCAGGAAGAAAGCTCATCCGTTGATCAATTGTTCTGACCGTCAGAAAATTTCTCCTTACTTCTAGGTTGGATCTCTCTTTAAAAAGCTTCACCCCTTACTTCTTGTCCTGCCCTCTGGGCCCTCTGGTGCCTTAGAAAATACAGTAAGTCCATCCCTTCTTCTCTGTGGCAGCCTGTAAAATTGCAAGAGCCAAGCTGGCTTGGTCACTGGGACCAGAGGTTTTGCCTTCTGAGCTTTCAGACTTATGCTGGAGCCCATCTTCAGGGAACTTCTCTCTGGCAGAGTATAGATTGGAACATTATCCTGGGACATGTGCATTTGCCTTCATTCGTGAGCCCTTAAAATGTTGGAAGACAGTTATCATGTCTCCTCTAGTACTTCTCTTTGATAGGTTAGACCAGGGGTGTCAAAACTCGAGGCTCGTGGGCCACATCTGGCCCATGGGGTGCTTAGATCTGGCCCGCCAGGATGACCTGGAAACAGCAAAGGACCATCCTGCGCTGCCCTCCTGAGCTCCGTTTTTCGGAAGCCATCGCAGCTGAAGCTCTGGGACTTCACCAAGCTGTGTTTTTACCGGCAGAGCGGTTGGGCCACCACAGGTGCCCCCGACACCAGTGACAATGAGCTGGCCACGCCCACCATGGCCCCCCAAGGTCAAACACCCTAATGCGATCCTCAGTGTAATTGAGTTTGACACCCCTGGGTTAGACATACTTAGTTCCCTCAACTATGATTTAGCCTCCTCCTTTATCATCTTTGTTGCTCTTCTCTGCACACACTCCAGGGTCTCTGCCTTAACAAGGGGCTATTCTTAAAGGGGGTGCAATGGCTCAGCTGTTAATGACACCGAACCTGTCAGCTGGAAAGATGACAGCCCAAGTTCGAGACCCAAGCACCATACAATGGGGTGAACTCCCTTTCTTACTCCAGCTCCTGCCCGCCTAGCGGTTCAAAAGCATGTGAATGTGAATAGATAAATAGGTATAACTTTGGTAGGAAAGTAGCAGCATTTTGTGCACCTTGGTCAGTCATGATATTCTATTTTCTTCACTACTGGTTCGGGAGGGAGAGAACACGCGCCCATGCGCTCGCTTCACTCGGAGCACATCTGGCCATGTGCAGAACCTTCTGCACATGCGCAGAAGGTCCTTGATGACATCTGGGTGGGTGGACGGAGCCTCACACATACCACCTCAGAGCTTTGTGTATGTGATCTTTGGACAATGCGGGCTCCTTCAGCCAAGAAACAGAGATGGGTACCACCCCCTAGAGTGGGACATGACTGGACAGGAGAAACCTTTATCTTCACCTTACTCCTAAAGGCTGTAATAAGGAATATAAAATATAGAATAATACGGCTTGGAAGAGTTGAGTTGCTGCATCGGTGAAAGTAGACTTTGGGTTTCACCGGTTCCCCATCTCAACTTCCTTCTTCTATGCCGTATCTAAAAGCCACATTTATAGAGAGTTCCCCCCCCCCACCCTTTGGTAATTTTATGATAACAAAAGATCTTTATTAGATTGATTCAGGAATATAGACTGGGACTGATGTTCTCAGAAAGAAAGGGAGAAGTTTAATCTCTTAGATGGCTTAGTTAAGATCCGTGTGCCAAATTTTGAAATATTCTGAGCTGGCAGCCGCAAGATATTCGACTCTTGCTTCCTTCCTTTGTCGTCCCAGGGATATTGAGCAAAATATTTTTTTCCCCAGGCTCTTCTTTTCTCTCGGGATTGTCTGAGGTTTATCTTTTGTGGGTGTTGAACTCGGTGGAGAGAAGAAGAACATGCAGGCAAAATGGTAATTGCAGAAGTTTAGTAGAGCTGATAGCCTGCAGTGGGTCTTGTGTCGTCCTTGAAGTTTCTCAAATCCTTCCTTCCAGACATTTCCTTTTTATTGGTTCGCAATCGCTCTTATGGATCAACTTTTGAACTGCTTGTGGTTTTGCAAGCTGACTTTCTTAAAAAACAATTGTGTGAGATCTGCCCCCAGCGGTATCCCAAATACCTCTTTGTAACTAAGAATGCGGTCCTCTCTGGATGATCCCCATTGCATCTGTGTCTTTCCTCCAATGTTTTTATTTCCTGGGGGGGGGGGGAAATTAACCCCGAAGTTTCAGGAATAGTTTTTTATTACTCAATTTGGTGGCTTGCATCCCTTTCCCCATCTGCTTCATCCTTTGCAATCTTTATTGTCTAAGTGGCTGGATTTCATACCTGCCCATAAGAACATTTCTAAATTTCAGTAACAGGATTAGCTGCATTTAGCAATTGTTCCCCAAGACACATTTCCTTAGGCTGGTGCCCTTTTAGCCAATGGCTCTGCTCCAGCGGTGGGTTACCATTTTTTTTTACTACTGGTTCGGGCATGCACATGCAATGCTTCTGCACATGTGCAACGCTTCTGTGCATGTGCAGAAACATCCGGGCAGGTGAGCAGAGCCCCCCGCCGCCGCTACTACCAGTTCGGCCAATCTGGGCCGAACCAAGAGCAACCCGCCTCTGCTCTCCTCCCTAGGAATTATAGGACGTGAAAAGCGACACAACTAGAGATTATGCAGTCAGAGAAGGAAAGTCAAAATGGAAAGGAACGTTGCTCATTTGTTATTGTCAGAGTGCAACCAGTGTGACTACTATTTTGAGACAACCGAGGTACATCTCCATCTTTACACTCCAGGAGAGGGAGTTTGTCTCATTCAGCCAAGACACTGTTAGGTAAGCTCCTTGTTGGGAGAGTGAGTACGTTCAGAGAAGTGTTGTGAGAGTTGTGTTGGAGAACACACAAACCAGCA